TGATGCATTTTGAGTGCTTAAGCATAACTCATAGAAACTGCTTTTGCATTCAGCAAGTTGCGGTTTATTCGTCACAGAGAAAAGTTACAAACTACAATCGTGTGCAAAATCAAAAGAATTTACACATTCGGAACACATTACATATTGAAAATTTAATGGGCAGATTTAATGAAATTTAATATGAATATACATTAATAATACAGAAAGATATTGTAGAGGCAATACGTTATTTTTAGAGCAGAAAACGTGAAGAATGTACGATTCCCTCGCCGGGATTCAAACATGGACCTCTCGAATACGCGCTGAGGGCGCCACCGTTACAACCCGAAGGCATGCTGGAAGGAGGGAGGAAATACCTTGTAAGAAGTACCATTTAAAAGTCATTTTGTGTACTCATGATTATCATTAAAGCTCTACTGTAGGGATGTCGAAAATCGACATTGTGATATCGAACTGAAAATGAGTCTAATATGGGGTATGGTGCCCACTCACAACCAGACAGGTCGAGCAGGGTGACGGCATAATGGACAGGAGGCAATTGAGAAATCCGTGTGGTAGTTGATACCACTGATGCAGCAAGGCAGTTATTCTGGGACATTTCTCGGATTGGGATGGCGAGATAACATTGCAATTGATAAAATTGCGTCTCATAGAAATTCAGGAGATCTATGTGACTAGTCCATATGACAATATACTCACTTTCCACGTAATTTTCGACCAGCTGGGCACTATATCGACGAGTGTTGTCACCAACTAACAGGAAACCAGGACGAACTTAGCCCCTGGAAATTCGAACATAGGGCTCCAGGATCTCCGTCAGTTAGGCAATTTTTATCAAAATTGCACAGGGGAGTGAGACCGTCCGATTTAATACCTGCCCAGACTTTTATACCTCCGTCATCGTAATGATCCTGCTCCCTGATGAGGGAGGGATGGTATCATGTTCCAGACTGTCTCCCTAGATACAGATACACCGAGAATCGTTGTCCAGGCTGAAACTTGACTCATCTGGAAAAAGCACGATGCTCCACTGAAGTGTGGTTCAAGGCGCATGTTGTCTGCACTGTGCTGAACCTATTCTTTTGCATGCTGAAGTCAGCAGGTGTGCAAGGAGCTGTTTTTTTTTTTTTTTTTTTTTTTTTTTTTTTTTTTTTTTTTTTTTTGCATAAAGCTTTAACTTGTGAAGCCTTTGGACAAACGTAAACCGTGAAAGTCGGGTGGTTCCGCTGGCAGGACGCAGCTCACGTGAGAGTTATGAAGCTCAAGCAGTCCTCTGTGGGTGCGATGAAAGGGCGAAATCTCATTCTTCGTTGTGGAGCTTCGTCGATCTGGTCCAGATCTTCTCGATATTCCGGTGTCCTGAAACTTGTGATCAGTCTGCCTCCAATCTACCGACAATGCTTCATTTCATTCTGTCATTCATATGTTTGTAGCTACTCGTTTCACCTGATTACTTACAAAACTTATGTAACTATTGCGAGAAACACGGCGAATGTCATGAGAGAGGAGAAGCACACGAATCGCCGAAAACCACTTCGTGCTCCACGGTTTCAGCCGAAAACGTCGCGGTACAAAATATCGTCGTCGAAAATAAAACTGTTCAAAAACTTCGCAGTTTAAAAACATCGTCGTCGAAAATATCGTGGTAAAAAATAAAGTACCTAGAAATTATCGCATGACGATTTAAAATTTAAATGCACCGTGCTCCGCAGACGCGCATATAAACGCTTACCTATTTAATGCGGCATATTTGAATAATTCTTCGGCGGCATAATTAGCATCTTTGGTTCAATACGTTTCGTCACAGTATACATAATTTGAAGATTCTTTTAATTTTGCACTCGAGTATATTTTCGCTTAAATAGTCATGAGTCGTTTACTACTACGTAAAAGCCTAATTATACTTATTATTGAAACGAAAATCAATTCCACAGGAGAACCTAGGAACTACCTAGGAGGAGTCAGGCTGGCTATGTTTTAAATATCAGTTCCAGGGAAGCAGAACTACTTAGCTTTGGAACCTTTAACCCGCGATTTACCGAGTAACCAATTTCTAAATTTTAAGTGATTCACCTGAATTCCGAAAATAAAATATAATACATAAAAAATAAATTATAAAGCGTAAACATGAAACATGCACTTGAAGAATACATAAAAAATTAATCGAAAATAAATAATAACCATAAACATTTTTGTTTCATTACAAAGTTCGAGTAACGAACATGCATTAAAATAAAAACTGTAACATAATTTCAAGGAGAAATCGATAATTTTTCCTAACGCCGTTTCATAATTTATAATTCTAAAAAATTGGTTTTGCCGTCTCGTCCGCATTTAGGTTCAACTTACAAATGCGAGGAAATATTTTCGCAATTTATTTGTTTTAAGTAAGAACAGGAGCAGTTTAACTACTGAAAATCCAAATGCTTGAATTCGTTTTAAGACTATTAACTAAGTCCAACTTGCCTTATAGTTATAGTTACGTCGGAAGTTCAGCATCAGGGAAACCACTGACATTGAAGAGAAAAATTATTTCAGTTATATTTGTTTTTATAATTAGAATTATAATTGTAATTGGCCCTTCTTCGTTATAACGGCCCCAACTATATATGGAGATTTTAGATTTGCGCTAAGGTCTTAGTTTTGCCATGCTAGTGAAGCGCAAATGTAAGAATATACACTCATGTCCATAAATTAAGGATAATGCAAAATCAGGCAAAGAAAGAGTTAGAAGCAAAACAAATTTAACTTTTTTGTAAAGCTTATTTATTAAACAAAAGGTAAAGAGCAAAAAGAAGATGCTATATGTTTGATATTATTAAAATAATTAGCGATTTTTTCTCCCTGGAGGAAATTACAAAAAGAACCTATTTACAAAGAAAAAACAATATTACATGGTTGGTATGATTGTTAATACATTGTATGTCTCCCAGACGATGCAATACAGTCCGTACAACGCCTAGGCATGCTGAGTATCAAATTATCGATCTGATCTTGGGGGATATTACATCACTCAAAAAGCAATGCTCTCCGAAATTCCGGTAGACATGTAGGAGTAGGTTGACGGGCTGCAACTCGTCGTCCAAGCATGTCCCACATATACTCTACTGCATTCAAGTCCGGTGAGAATGCTGGCCAGTCCGTACTGGTGATATCCTCCGATTGAAGGCATTCGCTTACGATGTTTGCACGGTGAGGACGGGCGTTGTCATCCATAAACACAAATTGTGTGCCCATGGCGCCCGAAACAAACGTACATGTTGTTCGAGAATGACGTCCCGATAGATTTGGCTTGTCATGGTTCCAATTTGAACATGCAGGTCAGTTCTGGAACCCAGAATAATTCCACCCCAAACGAGCACTCCTGCACCACCGTAACGGTGTCGTTCAATGATGTTTTCTTGGTGGTAACGGGTACCTGGAGCTCTCCATATGAAAGTCCGGGAGAATCAGACTGCAAGCTAAACCTGGACTCATCAGAAAACATCACCCAAGCCCACTGTTGCGGTGTCCACAATGCATGCTCTCTACTCCAGGCTAACCGCAGGCGACAGTGAGTTGCAGTAAGTGGAACGCATCTGACAGGTCTACGAGCATACAGACCAATCTTCCCTAAGCGTCTGTACACGGTCTGCCTTGAAATTGTCGTACCAGTGGCTGAAGAGAGCTGACGACACATGTCTGAGGCTGTGCTCCGCCTGTTTCTTTTGGCAGTAACTTCCAAATACCGGTCCTCATTCGGCGTTGTAACTCTGGAGCGACCTGTGCTGTAATGTCTACTCACATTACCATTATCTTGGAATCGTTGCCAAAGCCTGGAGATGACACTCTGGGCAATTCCAAGTTCGTCTGATACTTACAGTTGGGTACGCCCACATTCAAGACGGCCGATAATTCTACTATGTAAAAAATCATCCAAATCCGTCCTTTGTGTCATAACTATTCGGTTATTGCACTGAAATGCTTATAAAGCGCCTGCGAACAATTTTACTTCTTTGCCTGTAGTCCTTATATATCACTCTCTTACACTGTCGTCATTGTGACGTACCATCGGTGTCATCTGGTTATTTCCTGAAATTTGCATATGATTCTTGAGGTTGTGTGTAGTGAATGGACATGAGTGTATAATAATAACAGTAATACTCATATGTCGTTCCCTAAATATTTTTAAGAATCCTTATCCTTATCCTTATAATTACTGTTATTATTTTATCACATGTAATTATTCCCATCAACCGCATCCAATTTCGCAAATATTAAGCTGTTTGTTATACTATTTCATGCACGTCAACTCCTCTGCCCAAGAATACATAAACCTAATAGCAGCGACGAACGATATTCTGGAACCGCTGAACCAATTTTCAAAACAGAGGCCCTTCGTTTTGCAACTTTTTAACATTCTACCTCCAAATGGTTTCCTTGTTGACATAAAATTTTATATTGTGACCATTTTTGCGTGCTCTTTTGTCAGGTAAAAGACCTCTTTCTTGAAAAAAAATGAAACAATGCGACTTCGAAAACCTCATCAAAAATGAATACTATAAGAACGCGTGGCGAGAGCACAAATGTAACATGGTGTCAATATACGACTACGTAGCGAGGTATAAGAACACGCAGCCAGATTTTGGCTAGATATCCTGATTGATTGGCGATTCAATCTCAGAGGCCGATGTAACAAAGAAGTACCTTTTAATTTTTATGTTTAAAGCATATTGTAATTATTTTGTTCATAAAATTTATCTTATTATTCACCAAGAAAGACTGTACTAAAATGAAAACACCATTGACCCGAAACGTCTTAATATGCATATTTTGGTTGATTTTGAGCCGCAGCCAAAACACGCTGCTGATGCCTTCTTTTGATGACGCAGACTTCTGAAAGTGCTTCCGATTAATTTTTTAAAGTCCAACTAATGATGATCTCTCTGAATCAGGCTTTGAAAGTAAATAAAAGATTTAAAAGCCAAAGAAGGCAATTCATCTAAATTACGTATACTCACCTGTATGATATGAGCCGCATCTGGTGAGAAATCATCTGCCACAGATAAATGGATGAAGATATTGTGACTGTAACCCCACTTGCGTATCTGAATGAGAACGTATAACCAGTCGGAAAAAGACGGCTTCCACGTTCCCTTCACAGACAAAGGCCACCTTACCATTTTCTTCAAAACTCGTTTCAGAGGTTTGTTTCCCTGTCGCTCGATCTTTGCTGTTTTATGAAGATGTTCAGTCAATAAAAACAGATATAAAATTCTGAGTATTTATGCACGCTTAGTATTATGACATTTATTTAAACACCTACTCAGAAATGCTTCATATTCAACGAAAGCTCATTTTGCATATAATGTCAAAAGTGAGCAATGAATAAAATATTAAGAAATTCAACAACTGTTCGCTATAAATGAAGGTACGAAGAAGTGCAACTGTCAGGTGCGCTTTACTGTCAAGTAGAAAAGTTTAATTTTAGGCCAAATTATCCTAAATTTTTGGCAGCATTCAGCATCTGAGAAGTGGAATCTTTCCTAATACGCAGTGATAGTCCTGAGCTCCGGACCTAGCTTTAGCAATTTGCATACGAAGTAAAATTTTTCATTCTTTCGATAGGTTATTCAAATGATAAGATGATATCTGAATAACATATAGGAGTTTTATGTGAGAACTATTTCGACCGTATGCAATCAGCATAAAGTGAGAGGGGCGATTCTAAGTACACATTTTTTAAGTAAACAGCAAGTATAGAGCTGACGAAGTGTGACACAGAGCATGTTACAGTGGTACCTCGATATACGAGTGCCCTAATATACGAGTGTTTTGAGATACGAGCCGCCGAGCGAGCGATATTTTGTTTTGAGATGAGAGCAAGATTTGAGATACGAGGAATTGCACACTACACCGCTGCACACGACCGCAACATGCGCGCGCTTCTTGGCGTCGTGTGCAGCATCTAACTGTTTCTACCTAAACAACCTAATGAACTTTAACCTCTGCATAGAAAAAGCTGTGGCCTGGGGCTGTAGCTGAAAGGACCTTCGAACGATTGGAACCCGAAGTGTCAGTCGTAGAGGAGATTGTTTCTCTGGGAAAATCCATGGGTCTGGAGGTCGATGAAAGAGATGTGAACGAACTCGTCGAGGAACAGTCTCAGAAGCTGATAACCGAGGAGTTACACGATCTGCATTCGCAGAAGCATACGGTGGTTCAACGAAAAACTAGTTTTGAAGAGGAGCCGGAGATGGAGGAGGTTATCCTTACAAGAGATATAAAGAAGATCTTGGGAATGTGGGAGAAAGTTGTAAAGTTCGTGGATAAAAATTATAAAAATTACCCTGAGAAAGTTGCAACTGGTCGTGCATCGGAGTTCGTTTCGAACGAAACTTGCCTAACTCATTTTCGCAATATCCTGAAAGGAAGGAAGAAACAAACCTCCTTGCACAGTTTTTTAAACGATTTGCAGGTGAAAATGAGCAACGCATGACGAAAATTAAGCTCTCCCGTAAGCACTTCATGTTTTCTTTTAATTATGTTTTTATAGAATAAGTATTTGTTATTTATAAATAAATGTTTCTTCTTGTAAATACATTTTTCTTATTCAAAAACACTTAACAAAAACAACTGAGGTGGTATTTTGGGAGCTGGAACGGATTAATGGCATTTTCATTAATTTCAATGGGGAAAATTGCTTTGGTATGCGAGCAATTTGACATACGAGCAAGTTTACGGAACGAATTTAAACTCGTATGTCGAGGTACCACTGAAATTGAGTTACCATATCTGTGGTGAAAAGCACTGGTGTTAACTGAAGCAGCCTCTCGAAAGCTGTTTCTTCTTGTTATGCCCGGAGGCCTCTACCAACTAGGATATCAAATGGAGGAAGGTTTATTATGGATGGTTTTATATGGTTTATTATGGAGGATTATGGAGGGCTTTTCATGGAATGTATTCATATGAATTCAATATACATCTAGTTCCGCGTTTACGCAACTGTTCGGTACTGAAAGACCTGTTATTAAGAGGCTTTAAGAAACAAGGCTATAGATCTGAAATGTTTCGAATACAACGTACCTTGAGGAGCACGCTGAGACTTTAATGTCAACGAACATCTATGTGACAATGCATTCTATTTAGCCACGTAACAGTGTGAAGTTCACAATATTTGTTTTTAAAAATGTATGATATATCTTTCTCAATATTTAATTCACAGTATTTGTTTTCAATTCACGTACAAAACATCAGAAAATTTTTTTAAGAACTTGGAAAACATTACACAGAGTGTATAGTTGTTGTGATTAATCTCACTTGTTTGACTTAATCAGAACAAGCACACAAGTTTTATCTTGGCAAGGAGTACAGAACTGCGTCTGCTGTTAACCTGAGTCTCGAACAGCATATAGGCGACAGTACGGCTTTGCTCAGTTCCATCACAATTTTGAAAGACAGCAACTTGGAGGAAGGGTTCAAGGGTATCCCATTCCTCTTTACCCACTACAAAACCACTCGAGAAGATTTTCGCCGTATAAATTGGGCGGTCTCATGCTGCACAGAACACTATACGCTTATAAACATTCGTGCCTTATCCGGTATTCAAACCTCCCCCATAGGTACGGCAGTCAGTTTCACTTAATCCCTGCACCATCTGGGTGCCAGAGTATATAGTAGTTTGAGGGAGTAACCATAAATCACTTTAAAAAATATTAATGATGATCAGAAAATTTTATGTTTGGTACAAATGCAATTATATATCCGACGCTTTCGTCTGTTCTTATTTCTGTTGCGTTTTTATTTTTATGTTATTTTTGTACTTATATTTTTTAATTAATTTCTATGAAATAGGTTGATATAGCGAGATAAGACACAACCTCAAAGGAAGCAAATCTGTTGATTTATAGACAAAGGGACAAGGACTCTTTAAATACAATTAGGATTTGTTTGATATTTTGAAAGCAATTCGTATTATTTTCCATCTCCCTAAAAAAACATGTTCTAAATATAGCGAAGTGTGCATTTCCTTAGTAGTATTGCTTTCACAGCTGTCAGTGAGTGAAATAATTCAGGTTTATCTATGTTACGGTGAAACACCGAAATCTGGAGAATGTCGACTTTCACCGGTGAATGTCAACATTCACATAGTCGCTTGGTGTATGTCGGAAATATTTTCCAAATACTCTTATTTCTGACTTACACCGGTGAATGTCGACATTCACCATGTACTAATGGTGAATGTTGAACATATAAGAATGCTATATTTCCTTCTCCGTAATTCATTCGCGAAAAGACGCACTTGAGACTCAGAATAAGAATTTAAAACACACACTACATTCAAAATGAGAAAAGAAAGTAATAGAAGTTATAAACTTAACAAATTATGTGATTCAAATCTTATTTATTGCAACAACTTAAACTATTATGACACTTTGAATAGCACAAGAGGCCCTTGCTTTTACAACTGCATTTATTTCTGGAACACTTCCTTTTGGAATGGCAGCGTGTACATATACTCCTCTCTTTTCGACCTACACCAGAGCATATCTGTGATTGTCGACATACACCGGTGAGGGTCCGAATGTACAAGAATGTAAAGAAATATTCGATCTTTCACCGACGTATTTGGTGAATGTTGACATTCTCCGGTGAAAGTCGACATTCTCCAGTTTCGGTCTTTCACGGTAACATATACATTAAAAAATGTCATGCGGACACCACATGACTACCTTGTCCGAAATATTAAATTATACGCGTTTTTTGCTGCACTTCATTTAAACTAATTTCTTCGGCTTTCATTAGAGATAGATTTTTCACTCAATTAATTCATTTCTCATTTTAAAGCAAGGCAAAAGTACATAAAATCCTCGAAATAACTTCATTAAAAATTAAAAAATATAGAAAAACATAAAAAACAAATACAGTTAAATTCTTTAAATAACGTTACAATTAAAATTAGAGTTTCTACACAAAAACAAGCAATTCGGCCAGCAGGCGAGAAGGCAGATTTTTTGGAGCATAAACCTGGAAGTTTGCTTTTGGTTCTACTCGGCAAAAAGACACTGAAGTAACAGAAACTGACATAATTCACTATTCTGCTGAGTTTCAAATGTAAACAAATATGGTGTAGAGACATTAGGATTTTTCGGAAACAGGCAAGTTAAAAAAAAAATTAGCAACGCCTTCGCCGGGAACCGAACCACGGACCTCTGGAATACCGGCCCAGTGTGCAGAACCACTTCACCACGAAGGCGGGAGATATACCTTATAATGGTTGTTATGGTTAAGAAAAAAAAATTAGACTTAGCCGCACTTAAACAACTTTTAAATTGCTGATAATTCTACAACTATTGCACGCAAATTAACTAAAGGCGTGAAAACCTTAACCGGAAAATAAAAACATGACTCAAGAATTCTTAAAGGAAAAACTGCACAATTTACCAACATATAAAACTAAAAAAAATGAGTTCACCGAACCTAGTAACAGAATATATATATATATATATGCTTTTGGTGCGGTCGATTGCAACTAAAACGGGAGGTGCACAACTACGTGTTATAGCAGTCCTATATACAAAACTTGTTCTGAGGGTACTCATTTTGGAGTTATGCGAGCCACATACATAGATACGTACAGACGTCGAGAAAAAATCTCTTTTGATTCCATTTTAAATCAATTTTATATTCCGTTTGGAGAAATATTAGAATCCTTTATTCTATCATTACGTACAGATTGCGCAAAAACATCGTTAAATTGCATTCAATAGCGGTCAAAATGGATATTTTTGCTGAAACATGATAGCCGGAATTTTTCGTGATTACAGCACTTCCTTTACTTCGCACAAGAAAGTAAAAAGACACATTGCATATTGAAATGTGAATCAGCAACTAATTGGGGAATGAAGAATTGTATTCCGATTTTCAGTATTAGTTTTCATCTGCATTTTGCGTGTAATTTAAGTAAACAGACTTTATCTTGGTAAACTAGGAAAGAAATGTTTAACATATGAAACAGCATTCACTTTATAGATTAGTTGATTTAAATTTAACATACGTTTCTTAAGAATTACATTACTTCATATTGACTGAAAATTTATGACTAAACTTCACTTATGACTAAAGTATTAAAAACTTATAACTAAAGTATAAAAAGATAAGCTTAAAATTAAACTTACCTAGATTCATGCACGAGTCGTAAGTCTTTTTCAACATGCGAATGAAATGTGTTTCATTTCCTGTCAAGCGCTTCTCTAAGAGAACTGAAAATAAAAATAAATAACCACAGATATTATCTGAGACTGCATTTCTATTTTTTCTTTATAAGAAATTGGTACGATTTCATTTCGAGGGGCCGTAAAAAATTGCCAAACTGTTATTGGCAACAGTGATGTTTAATTAATTGTAGTAAGCCTGACATAATTCAAGAGCTCTAACTCACTCATTTAACGAGTTTAATTTCTTTTTCGCAAGAAATAAATATTTATTTAAAGAACTTTTTATGGCGATTCTCTTGGATTCTACAATTTGGAAATTGTCCATGGATGAAAAGTATACAATTGATTTATTTCAAAAATGAGGAGTCATCAGAAATAAACAGATAGATTCGAAAGATCATGAAATGAAACTGAGTTGTTCAAATGACGTGAAATGGCGTCACAGGAAAGGATCTTGCAAGGTTCATGTCTTTCTGATGTCAGGAAATGACATCAGCCGGATTTTGCGAATTACATCTTAAGATAAACCATAATATGACTGTTGATTGGACCAGTCACATGCGGGGGGTTGCACAGCAACATTAACCACTTCACCGTTTGCCCCGATAGAGTATCGTCAGTTTGAAATGTTTATTTAACCGTCAGCGACGGCAGACTATCGTCGAGGTGAAATTTGGCATGAACCGTGACCCCCGAGAGAGATTCGACGCTTCTTATTTTTCCTACCCCTCAGTACCAGTCGAAAAGGAAAGAATATGAGCTTATGCAACTCCCCAGATTGTACGAAAGAACACGGGGACGCTTTTCGGGAAAACCCCACCAATTCGAAGTGACAACAATACCCCTTCCTAACGCAAAAATTGAAGGTTAAAGTATCTTCAATCGAAGTGTTTTTTTTTTTTTTTTTTTTTTTTTTTTTTTTTTTTTTTTTTTTTTTTGATACTACCGATCTTGAACTTTCGAGTATAGATTCGAAGAATAATCCTACCCTCTATAATTGTATAATAAAATTTCTTTAATTGATTCTGAGATTTTTTTAATTTTGAATTAAAATGATTCATTGAAACTCATTTCATTATTTGGCTGTTTTTTAGTTGAAGTGATTGTATTCGCTTTTGTTTTATTTTATTACTGTGAGAAGTAAAGGAAGTTTATAAGCGCGAAAATTTTTGGGGTTCATATTTCATCGGAAATATCCATTTTGCCCGTTCCCAAATCCATTTTCACAATCCTTTTCCAACTGTGCGTACGGACAGAATAAAGAAGTCATTTTTTCTTAAATGGGTAGTTAAACAGTAAAATAGATTCAAAATAGATTTTTTTTCCTGACATCTGTATGGTACGTACATACGTATGTATGTATCTCGCATAACTCAAAAACGATTAGTCCTATAACAATGAAATTTTGTATGTTGGGCAGCTATAACATCTAGTTGTGCACTTCTCTTTTTTATTGAAATCGGCAGTACCAAATATATATATACTGCCCCTTACCAGCTTAAATGTTTTTACACGGCTTTTATTTTATTTTCTCAATCTTTGGTGGTAGTCATGTATATCCAATTCTGAAAGTATTATAAATGATGAAAATATGCATGTTTTGACAATGTCAAATTAAAAGAAAAAAAAAATTATTTGGATAAATATTGAAATCTATCTTTCAACGTGTTCTTCAGGTTCCCATGCCTATTTAGGCTAGTTCTGTACTCGTTATGGAAAAAAAAAAAAAGTTACAAGAAGCTTGACATCTGCACGACAAAAATTTCCCGGGATATTCAGTGCTATTTTTCGTCTCATTTTCAACTTGCATGAGGGATCGGTTAATTAGAATAATTCGAGAAAATAAGTTTAAATGAAACGCAGAAAAAATATGTATGATGTAAATAAGTCGTCTTGTGGTGTTCACATCAGTTTTTTTTATTCTTCTTTTTGTTCATTCCCCAAAGTATTTCGGTTTGGTTTAGATGTATACGGCAAAGCATTCGAGGGCTATCTGCATAAGAGGAGGGATGCCTTCGTAGAGGCCTTTGTAAGGGAAACTGGCTCGTATACATGTTACAAATCGGAAAACAACGAAAGCGCCCATGCAGCCAGCCTCTCCGCAGGGATTCGAACCCCAGACCAAACTACCAGTTTTCAGCGAGTTTACCGCTCAGTTGCTGGTGGGCTCACAAAAATAAACGAGATGTTTTCATTTTTTGGTCAATAGTTTAACTTATTTTTGAAAAGAATAAATCTTAATTTATTCTTCTCTGGTTATTATTTCAGAAAAAAAAAAAAAAAATAGTTGGAAAACTTGTAGGGAGGGAACTAAAATGACTACTTCTTGTATCCATAATAATAAAAAAAAATTTTTTTTAATAATTTTTTCGAATTGTGTTGCCACTGTTTTCAAATCGTTGAGTTTGCTAGTCGGAAATGAATTAGAGTTTTACGAAATATGAAAAAAGATAATAATAAAATAAAATAACAAATTCGAAATTCAAAATTCGTGCTTTCGGGTGCACATGTTCGCGTGAAGGATTACTTTATTCAAAATTTCATAGCTCTGTGTAGCATCGTTTTTTCACAATCTATGCAGATTTTTCATTATTTAATTTCTTTAAATAATGCAGGGAGATAGCATATTTTGTGGCAACAATTTGAAAAGTGATACAGACAGAAAAATGACACAACGCAAATTTTCAATGGCGATGGTAAAACTGAGACTAATAGTCCTTTTGGGCTAAAAAAAAAAATCTGAAAGTTTTAAGATTTTAACGGTCAACTAACGGATTTGATAGCGTATCTTAACACTCTCACTGAGTCCTTAGTCTCTATTGCACTCATTCCTGCTAACCCATTTTTGTTTGTATTCTTAGCTTTAATATTAAGTATCGCTTTCATCGCGCATACACTTCAACAGCAAAATCACAACTTTTTTAAAAGCAGCCTATTTTTTGAATTCCCGATTCAGTTTTAAATGCTGCAATATATTTTTCTATTTTATTCAGTTTTTTCTCATTTCATAATACCAATCCTCAGTTTCTTAATAAGATGGCTTAGAGAACTTTTCTTTTTTGTTTCTTTTTATACTAAGTTTTCGTAAGTGAATTTTATTTATTAAATATAAACTTTCGCTACATAAAATTCTAGTCAGCAGCAAAATGACAAAATATTTGATAATGAAAGAGAAATATCTTATTTTTTTTTCCGAATGGCAACAGTCTCGCGAGTCGGAGATAAAAAAATTATTTGGAATAGTGTTGCCACTGCTCGCTTTCCGATCTTTGAGACTGTTAACTAATAATTAATTAAAGTATTACAAAATATGAAAAAATAATAAAACAAATTCGAAATTAAAATTTGTGCTTTCAGGTGCACATGTTCGCATGAAAATTACATTATTCAAAATTTGACGGTTGTATCTACCATCATTTTTTCACAATACATGCAGATTCTTCATTATTTAATTTCTTTAAAAATAATGCAAGGCGATAACATACTTGGTGGGAACAATTTAAAAATGATTCAGACATTTAAAGTGACAGGACGAAAAATCCCGATATGAGATTAATAGCGCTTTTGGGCTAATAATTAAATGTATGAAAATATATGAGAAGTAATTCGAGCGTGTTTTATTACAGTACATTAAGAAAAATAGTAGCAAAACATTATTTATAGCTATTTCAAATAAGCAAATATACTGATTTTTTGCTTTAATTAACAAAGCTTTTATTTCACAATCAAAAAATGGCATTTGCTTTTGAATAACTTTCAATCGATTTTTACTCTTCTTACTAATTATCAGATGCAAATCGAAAACTCCTAAAATGCATAGCATAAGATGAGACGGATGCGAGTTTTTAACACGTTTTATCATCACATCATTACCCCGAATACACACACACACATTTATATATATATATATTATATAAGATATTAAGATATTTTATTTATTTTTATGTAAGATTTTTAATTTAGGAATATTTCGTACGAATATAGTTTTATTATTTATAAAATGATGTATGATATATTACACTTTAAAATTATTCCTATATTTAAAATAATTATAAAAACAGATTTCCAGGGACGACATAGCTTGGTCTTAAATGGTAGTGTGGTCAAAGCTGATAATATCTCCTCTACGAGGTACCAGCTTTTGTGTTCGATGGTCGCCTTTATGGGGTTGTCACTGACGTCCTTGAGTGTGACAAGTACGGGGTTCAGGTTCATTTCAATAGAATTTCTCAATAGACCTCACAGGTAGTGGAAGGGGGAAGGAAATATTTCTCTCGTTAACTGAGCTAAATTTCAGACACAAAATGTTTACCTTTGGAAGAGAAAAATGGTACAAAATATAGAAGTTTTGCTCGCCGGTGAAGTGGTTAATACTTTGAAGACCAAAACTCCTGAGACAGCCCTTCATTCAAACGACCACAGTCACCCGAAACGGCCGACATCGCTATGTTGTTCCCTTTCCTCCCCCTAAGGTCTGCAGTAGCAGGTGTAGTTTCCTCAAATGCGCTTTATCAGTTTATTGCAGAAAATTTGTCCTAAAAGGCTAATTGAAGCTTCTTTTATCATGAAGTAGAAAGAATGCCATTTTAAACCTTCACACCTCTTAATGGACGGTCAGGGGAGAAAACGGACGAGACGGGTAATGGACTGGAATAGGCGTTTCGGTATTTTAAGCATACAGGTTAGAGAAGGCTTCGGCTTTCTAAGGGTTAATAGCCCGGCCAACAACGAAAATCGGCCGAAGCCAAAGAAGAAGTTGTCGAAATAGACGAAAGCCTTTTCACGATACTTTTTTGTGATTGGGACCGTATTCAGAAATTTATATATGTTATGCATGTATATATGGATATATGTGTTCATGTACGTGCATATGTATGAGGTGTGTGCATACGCATGCACGTACATGTACGTATAATATATACACATGTGCATACATTCATTTTTAAATCCGCTCCCGATAACAAAAGAGTACCCGTTTCTCAAGGAAAGAGAGCAAAGTTAGGCGGTTTGTTCCACACCAATGGGTATTCGACCAATTGTGCAGAGAGTCTAAATTATGCTTTTTTTCCCCAGTTCTTAATCGATCGGTGAAAACTTTATTGGCTGTTATAAGGAAAATACAGAAGAGACAACTATTTACACGGATTATTGGTAGGCATTATAAATCAGATGAACTGCGAGATGCCAGCTTCGAGCATTGCACTGTGAACCACAAATTTCACTTTGTTGATCCAGAAAGTGGATATGACAACCAAACGGTCTGTGTGGAAGCGCAAAATGGCGCAACAAACGGCATCGAAGCACGGCTCGACAGCACCTCGAATCGTACTTGTATGAGTCTATGTGCCGACGGATGCATAAAACTAACATTTTTTCTTCCATGTTGAAAACTATTAAAAATTTTATGCCTCCTCAATAAAATAATAACTCAAGGTTAATACCTAGATTTCAGATTTTTGTCTTATTTTATGCTCTGTGTTTGATCTGGCAAAAAATTTTAATCGTCGCCAATGGCCCCCCGAAATGGAGTAGTACTGAAGTTTTCTAGTCAATAAAAAGGCATCAATAAGAAACTATCAATGCATATTTTTATAAGGCCGAAAATCATCTATATAATTTATGCAAAATGTTCAACTAATATAAGAAAAGGAAAATGTTTTCCATGTAATATCAAGAAACACTATTAACTGGGAACTGAAAACATCCGGAAGAGTAGTTTTATGAGATGTTGTTTTGAACTTCGGTCTACAAATACTATCGAAAGATATTTTTTGATAAGATTAATATTTACAGGAAGCATCTGGCAAATAAAACTGATTGAATCTGTCGAACACTGAACTGATAAGTAATTCAATGTTTTCGACCTATTTATCAACATGAATGCCACATATTTCTGTATGTTGTAATATTAGAATGAAATGATTCAAGTACTCTCAGTGAGGCGTGGGTTAGAATCCCACCGCTGCCACCAGATATTGATTCTTGTACACGTCTGTAATGAAGTTTTAAAGAACTCTCGCCATTTTTGAACGAACAAGCAACTTTATTAGTCAAAACTTACAGAATAACTGAAAAACATTTTTAAGCGCTCGCATCGTCTACGGATATTCTTTGCGGATAATCGTCTGCGGTAATTTACATTTCTTAGTGGACTTATGTTGGTAGCGTAGCAACGCAAATACGTTACAATGTACTGAAATGAATTAACATCTGAAAACACTATTGCCGATTGCCTATTTTGTGTCACATCGAGTATAAAACTTTAAGTAGCACAACAGTATATTTTATTTCGAGCGTGAATCGTACCCCAGGATCCTAGGTGATCGCATATAAAAGTTCGGTAGGTTTATCTTTTGTAATGTTTTCAACTACTCATCATTATTGACAGTTGTATATCCGGAAATGTGTAGATATCATAGCAATGATATAACTTCTCAGCCTGTCTTATGAAAACAACGCGTTAGGCACAGCAGTGTGGTGGACCTTCTCAAAATGAGTTTATTTGCCCTGAAATGTCATTCTCAGTATATGACTGTATTGATTGCATTTGTATACACTTGTATGACATTTATGACATTTTTCTCAGTCGTCCTTCTGAGCTTTACTTCTGAAAAGGAAGTTAATCTTTTTCAGTAAAGGTATGACGTGGTTCTCTGTTTTTAGAAAATATTTAAAAGTGGTTCTCTGTTTTTAGAAAATATTTAAAAGTCTTCAGATTTTGATGAGCACCGTTAACTCAATGTTAATGCTGACCACTTCTCCAAAGACGTTATCCTCCAAAAATTAAAATTCATATACTTACATTTGAGTTTGAGAAGAATACCATTTTCAGCTTTAGAAAAAGATGAGATATAATTTTTATCCTCAGGAATGATTTGCTTGGCCTCCCAACCACCGCAGGCGAATTGATAGAAATTGTCGCAAGGCTTTTCAGTCTCATCTAAATTGGATAAGATGTGGACAGCTGGAAGGTAAAAAAAACACATCTATAAGTATAGTTTGATCTCAGAATCTAAAATAATAGTAATTGGCTTACAATTATTGATTACCTCGATGCCAGAATTTGAGACCATATTTCTGAAAGCATTGTTAAAAATTTCCCTTTGTAATGGAAGAAAGGCAGAAAACTCTGAAGACGCCAGAAATTGTCGATAATCGCAATGACAGACTACATGAACCACAGAAACAGAGCATATCAGCTTTAAGGAGACAAGAAAACCTAGTGTCAAAGCACAACATCAAATTCTACTGTAAACTGACTTACGCTCAAAGCTTCATATTTAAATAGCTTAGCCATTTTAACCGTTTTTATGCACATTTATATGAATAATGTAGACTTTAATAATTTTTAATAATGTAATTATTACATATGCAAACACTCAAGATCTTAATCTTACCTGGTGCTTCTATACAAAATTTACTATCTGCAAGATTATTTTATGTAATATCATAATTCGTATGCCCAACGAGTTTTATACCCTTATTATTTCTCATAATAACTTTGCTTCGTGCAGGAAGATTTTATTAATTATACATACTTCGAAAAGAAAAATGGCACTATAGTGTTTGATTTTAAAATGTGCTTACAAAGATGATTAGGCAGGTTTTAATTTGGTATGCTTGAAATGGCCTAATGCTGTGCTGAAATTTACATTAGACAAAAATGGCTTGTGAGGATTTTGGAGAGTGATGGCTGGGGTAGCGAGATAAGCATTTAAAAAAAAGAAAAAAAGGAAATCCAGGTAACTAGCTTTGAATTATATTTTGATTTGAATCTAACATTTATGACTGTACAGTTATTTGATCACATAATGATCTTAAAAAATAGTTTAAAATGTTTGTTAAAGATACTCATGTATATTTATTAAGGAAAAAAATCACAAAACGAAATAACAGAAAAGTGAAAAATTGAAATTAAACAAACCACATGCTGTACTATTCTGTTATCAGAACCGGATTCAGATATCGTTAAAAGCCGAGATCTCTCGAAGCAGAAAATAACTCTAAAACCTTTATGGTACTATTAATTGAATAAAGTTGAATAAAAATCCAAGGTAGAAAAATAACAGTATTCGTAAAATTAAAAAAATTTACTTTAAGTTAAACAACTTCCCAAGAAAATCGAAAAAAACAAAATTCGGATAACGAACTGGGATTAACTCCTAGTCATGAATCTGCGCATGTCATAAATAACTTACTTATTTACCACCAGTTGAGTTGCTGTACCGCCTGTTATGTGACTATCATTATTCGTATTCAATTGGTGGAGCATTCTCTTGTCCTTGGGCCTAGCCAAAAATGTCTATAGAATATTAAAATTTGCAGCGGAATTTATAAAGTTGCTTCGGAAGATAGGTATTTGTGATCTATGGTTATTAGAGACCCTCTTAAGGCTTTGACTGTGCTGAATGAGGATTTTAGTAATGTTTTTATGCATTGTGATTCTGGAGCATTTAAAATAACTGGAAGCATTTGCGATTTAGGAAGCTTTCGTTGCCACATAAACTCAATCAAACAGTTAACGGTCAGTGCTGTGTTGACGTTTATTTCGCCATTTCGCACTGCCACTTAACATTCCAACAGCTTGCGTATATCGCCAATATCGGCTTGCCAATATCTGAAATGAAAAATCTGCATTTTCGATTAACACAGAAAAGTTCAAATCCGGCCTTTGTTAATTGTTCGACGTCATATCATTTCTCAGTGTAGCAGTCTCAGTATTCATAATGCCGTCAATAATATTTTCTTCAATAACTTTGAACAAAGTTCTGGCATAGCGGTTAGTCATAGTAGTCATAGCAGTTGTTTTTTCAACTTGAAAACAGGCTTTCGTCAACTTCGACAATGTTACCATTTCCGCCTATTTTAACTGACGGTTTGGATATTAATGCATGGCCACAGACTTCCCTTATGTAACTGTTTCAGTCAACAACAGTACAACAGTTCATATCAAGTTAATACCTATCAAACCCAAAGGAAGTTGATTCTAAATACCATGCATAAATGAAACGAATAGCCATTAAGAAACTGGTTCTCGATTCTTCAAACGAATTTTGAGAAAGTAGTATTTTTATTTTTTTCCTCGGCAAGTCATATCTTCACATCTTTATTTTTTTGCTTCCTCCGACTTGAAGTACAGCTACATTTTCTGCATTTTCGTGCACTTTCTTTCAGATTGAACAATTCCTCGTTCCTGAAGAAATTGTATGGAAGATGTTTCATTATTAGATAAGTCTCAAAATTTCGTATCCATAATAAACACAATAATAATAATAATAATAGCACAAGTTAACGTTATATCTTTAGAATTTGTATTCTCGTTGCGACATTTTAAAAAACATTCTTTTACTTTTTTAAAAAGTAAACATTGTAACGAATTTAAAAGTAAATATTGGCGAATTCACATGAACCAATCTCTTGGCGAGTTTTGCAAAACATTTGGCGCCGATTATAGTTCCGGTAACAGAAGAGTACCCAATTTTTTGGACCTTATTTGTGAAATCATAAAGGGAAATATGAATGTGCTTTTAACGCGCCACCTAAACCTTTGAAGTTCGACACTAGTATTTTTTTCTACTTAGTTATTTCAGCAAGACTAGAAAACTGAATCTTAAAGCAAAATGCTGAATTCTGAACTAAACTGATTGACAACTTCAGATATTCACTTTTAAATAATTTAATCATGCAACATTAATAACATGAGCTTCAAATAAGTTTTAACAATGAAATTTTTATATACTCCAGTGTTCCATAATTTTTCTCCCAACCGATACTTTTTATAAAATTTTACACTTTACAATGTATTATATCATTTCATGCCATAACTTACTGTTTCAATATATCCTACACGCTTATAGTTCCCTGTAACCATTGTACTTTAGCAACATGATTTTACTAATTATTGATAATTTGAAAAATTAAAGTGTTTGGGTTTAAATTTCGCGCCCGAGGACCTAAGATGCCTAAGACATAAGACAGCTTGATATGGAATAATGATGTATTGAAATTAACACTGAGTGGAGATGATGCGTATAAATCTTGCGGGAAAAAAAATAATTCTACAAAAATCTGAAAGGTTTCAGATTTTAACAGTCGCCCAAAAGGGTTTGGTAAGGTTTTATGCGCTCTTGCTGAGCTATCAGTCTACCAGTCTGCTGTCACACTCACTCCTACTAAGCTATTTTTTTTACTCATTATCTTTATTATTAAGCATCATTTTCTTCGCACAAAAACCATACGCAATTCAATGGCAAAATTACAAAAATTTTACGAGCAGCATAACAGTATAAATTTAGAATTCTCGAAGCAACGTTAAAGTGTTAAGGTACATATTTCTGTTTTTTTTTTTTTCCCAGTCATTTCTCAGTTCATTATTTCTCATTATTTTTTCTCAGTTCATTATATCAATGTTTAGTTTTCATACTAAGATTGCTTTACATTTTTTTTGTCTTTTTATTATTAACGTTTTGTGTGTTTACTTCATTTATTAAATATCACGTTCTTGTTGCTTAAGCCACATAAAATTCAATTCAACAACAAAATCACAAAATGTTTAAAAACAGCATATTTTTAAAATTTACGACAGGCAGTCTTGCGCGCTGGAGATGAAAACGTTTTTTCCATACATTGTTGCCATTGTTCGCTTTGAAATCGTTGAGTTTGTTAATCAAAAATTCGTTAGAGTTTTACAAAATATGAAATAGACAATAAAACAAATTTCAAATTCCAAATTTGGACATCCAAGTGCTCATATTTGGGTGGAAGAATATGTTATTCAAAATTTGATGGCTCTAGGTACCGTTGTTTTTTCACAATGCGAGAAACATACATGCATTCCTGCAGATTCTTCATTATTTAATTTCTTTAAATATAACAGACGATGATAATATTTGGTAGCAACAATTTGAAAACTGAAAGGCCGTTTATGGTGATTAAACGCAAATTATCGCTTCGAGAATAATATCCCATACGGGACTAACGTCCCTTTTCGGATAAAGAGAAAGACCAAACAACTAACTTCGTTGTATCTACATCCACCATTCAAGAGATATTTATTGCGTGATATTTTTGAAACGGGCTATTTTTGTATTTCGAACAAATTCATTTAAATAAAATAGTCACCATCAAAAGAACGGAGAATGCCGAATTGAAATTGATGAAAATAATTTTGGGGACTTAAACTGTTCATGAGAGAAATCTCTATCTGCTTGTTTAATTGTCACTGATATTTTTCAACTTCTACACCGGCAACTTTTTCTACCTATTACCAATATTTGTTACTCTTCAGTTACTAAAACGGTTATTTTTGCTTGCTGCGTAATATGAAGGTTAGTTTAAATGGTGTAAGCCCTCTCCTTATGTCCAGTGCAATGAAAATAAAGCCATGATCCTTCACATTATGACGTCACCACTTATCATGGCAGCTGCCATAAGCGGACTTCTGGTTGCTTTTGTTTACATTCAAATCGCCATTGTTTACATGTTAGCTATTTATCATTGAACGTATATAAGTCTCCCGTTCTACTTTTAACACTATCGCAAGGATCGCAAGTGACTTATTCAAATTTAATAAAATGTAGATGCATGAAAATGTCTAAATTGTAGCTCTAACACAAATATATAAATGGTAAAACCCGGAAGATCAGTCGAAGTTTCAATAGTATTGTATGCAGATTATGCCTAAAAGCACTTTTTCTGAGCCTGTGGGCGTTGATATTTGCTTTCAGTGTAATTTTTCGTAGTCTTTACTGTACGCTGTATGGCGGAGTTGATAAGTTTCAGCGTCACTTTGCTAACATTTCCTTGGCTTCAGTTTTGTGACGTCATGCTTACTCCATCTATTCTAACCTCCATGCTCTGTTTACATCGCTTTGTACCAGATTTTGCAAGTTTTAGCACCGCGTGTTGCAATTGTTATATGCATTTATATCTTTAGAATCACACTATATCAGCTTTTGTAAATTTAGGTAGTGTTTGCCTCAATCGTAAAATGTATTCACATGCTTAATGTTCATTGTTTTGTTAAAACTTCGTTTTATCTACAATTTTACTAATAGCTTCTGTGATATTATAGTAAGTAATATGGCATCAGTGTTACTGTAATTTTCATGGAGGTTGTTAGAATAGCTGGCGTAAGCATGACGTCACAAAATTGAAGGCAAGGAAATGTTAGCAACGGGACGTCATTTTTATCATGGCCGCCATACAGCATGCGGGTAAGACTACGAAACGTATTGTTAAATAAAATTACACTGAATTTGGAAGCAAATATCAATGTCAGAAAAGTGTTAAAGTGTTTGGGGCATAAAATAGCTAGGAAACTTCCAGTGATCTTCCAGGTTTTACAATGTATACATCTGTGTTATACATATTTTCATGTACACATTTACACGTATTTAGATTTTAATAAATTTTTAAAAGTGATTTGCAGTCCTTGTGATTTTACTTTATACTATATAGAAAAGATTTTGAGTATCAAGAGACTCACAAAAAGTTCAATGTAGAATAATTAACATGCAAACAACGCCGATTAGAATGCAAACAAAGTCCGCTTATGGTAGCGACCATGATACGAGGTGACGTTTCACGGCTTCATTCATATTTTAAGTTTGATATCTACATTTATAAATCATTCCACTCCAGCGCCACATTTAAACGACAAAAAAATTCCATTCAAATATACTTTGATAAATTGCACAGTTGTATATTTTCTCCTTTGACGTAAGGTCTGTGGCAAACCACGAAACAAGTTTGATTTATGGTTATTTGACGCTTTCGGTGCTTTAAGTTGGAGTTTGCTAGTGGCGTCATCGATGTGTCGAAATCAGAGAAGCGGTGCAGTAGATCGTGTGTACCTTGAAAGACAGAACCTGGGTCTGTTTCATCCGAGTGAAAGTCACTTAGTGACAGGCGCCTGGGCAAAAGCCTCATCCTGAATTTAACATCGTTTCCACCGCGCATAACTTTTCTTTGACCTAACGTAGTTGTAAAACCGAGCTGAGGGTAAGATCTCAGTGCATTGGATTGAATAGTCTTCGTATATCATCTTTCAAGTAGTCACTCTGTCAAGCAAAGTCGGTTAAGAGAATCAGCAAACTGGCATGGATATTGTGTGCATGGTCTTAGAGATCTAAATATGGTAATAACAGGTGAAAACAGTTTCCGAATAGGATCGAAGGGTGGAGCTGGCTGGTTCAGGAGTAACGCCGTCCAATACGAAACCTGGAAGGCAAGCAACGAATTTCTAGCAAATCAGGCACAGATTGGGTTGGGGCTTTGTTAAACTGCGGAGTTAAGTTAAAAACTGAGTAGACAAGTAGCCACTAGATGGCGACACAGTTGTACAATTTACTAAAGTAATGGAAGAAATATTTACGGTAATGCCTACTAGATGGCGACACAATTGCTAAGATTTAAGTTACTCTTAGACATAGAAATAATAAGATAACAAAAACGTAAAAAGATCCAGGACTCAGAAAATTATAGGGCTAAAACAACATTGAGCAGATTAAATAAAATGTGAAACAATTTTGAATATAAAATTTAAATTGAAAAATACATCGAGTTTATTAACTTTTTAAATGGAGCAAGACTGCCCCTGGTCTTTTCCTGTTTGCTCTATCTTGAATATTGTAGTCCATAACAGGAATTGAGACGTTATTAACTTTTTCAATATTACGAAAGAATTTTTTGGCAATTTTTCAATGCATATGCTGATTTTATTAACCTCTAGTTCTCTATGAATTGCCTCATTTCGTATGAACCATTGGCAGTTTGCCATTTGTCTTAGGGTGACATTCTGCATCTGTTGAATTTTTAGCATTCTCCTATCACAAATATACCCCCAGACAGGACAGACGTATGTAATGATGGGACGCAAAATGGATTTATACACTAAAACTTTATTGTCTACCCATAAACCAGAATAATTTCGGGAAATTAGGGGAGTTGAGTAAAGCTTTAGTACCCCGAAATTTATTTAAGGTATATGTAAAGTGTGGGGCCATTGTGAGTTTTTGGTCTAAAATAACACCAAGGTATTTGACCTGCTTGGCCCAGGGAATATTTTGGTTGTACATATTCAGAGTGGCATTCAAATCAATATTGACTTTTTGCGTGAAGTAAACAGCCTCGGACTTCTCCACGTTTGTTTTAATTTTCCATTTCACCATCCAGAACCCTAGCGCATGGAAGTGTTCCTGTAATGTTTGAACTACTGCGGCCATAGACGCGTTTTGATGGAGTATTACAGTGTCGTCTGCGTATAATGCTAGTGTAGTGATGGGGTGGTGTGGAATGTCGTTTGTATAAATTGAAAAAAGGGTAGGTGAGAGTAAGCTCCCTTGAGGCAAGCCTTGCAAGGGTTTCGCTGCGTGTAGAGTATGCTTGTTTATAACGAACGACAAATTTTCTATCATACAGATAGGAATTAATGATGTTTATGATGTAATCTGGGAAGCCCAGAGTGATTAATTTGTATGTGAGACCCTTTCATCCGAGTGGAATTCTCCACCACTAGCGCAAAAGAGTTCCTGTGCATTAGGTTCATGGTTTCCGACTCTTTCAAATTTGCGAGCGTTGATTGGTTCTCGAGATCGCTACACACTCCACTCCTAAGCATTTCTGATGTGAGGAGATTCGAGTGGTCGTTGTGAAATGAGCCTGTGTTGTTGGCTAGGTTGTGAACGCAGCATTAATGGAATTGATCGTTTTGGTTTGACGGTTATGGCTGCGGTATGTGAACGTGCTCTGTTGGTCCGTTGATGCATGGTGGAGCGTGGTTGAGATAAAGAACATCTATGTAAAGAAGGAAAGGTTCCATACACGTAATGTAAACCAGTTTGTTATTACGCCACTGGAAAGCGGAAGGAAAATTTTCCAAGGAATTTGGCGACGGAACTTGGCGGCGAGAATTTCCCCCTCCCCCATGTGTATAGGGAGTTGAGGAACACGTGCTAAGAAGAAACGTTCTCTGACAAAATGTTTTTTCTTTGACGTTTCGCGATAATTTAAACTCGGATTTTCGTACTCTTTTTGTCAAAATAACTAATCCATTAATTAGTTTACTTGCGAGAAAATTTTTTTTCTTTTCCTTTAAAGTTTAAAGAAATTTAAAACGATGTTCGTTTTATGAACTGTTGATAAATGTGACCTTCGAACTTCGACGCCGGCTTCGAGCTTTCGCGTTTTGGCGACAGATACTTCGCGCATGCGCAGTGTTTCCCTCTACTTTGGAAAGGAGCCATTCCTGTTGCGGAGAAGTTTTCCTTCTTAACAATACATATTCTTTGGTTAAGAAATCCCAGTCTGTTAGCGCTTGTGTTGACGTTAGGCTGTGGAGTGGAGCGTGTGTGATGCATTTCGTCATTTGCCCTCAGTGCGCAAATGTTCGTGTAGTTCTCCGGGTCGCAACTGTGGAGATCATGTATGAAAATTTGATTTATGGTTCGCCGTTATTCAACCGTTTCGGTGTTTTAAGTGCGGCTTTGTTCATGGCCGTATTTCGTCATTTGCCCTCAGTGCGGAAATGTGCGTATAGTTCACCGGGTCCTTAATTGTGAAGATCATGTATAAAAAGTTGATTTATGGATCGCCGTTGTTCAACCGTTTCGGTGTTTTAAGTTGGGCTTTGCTTATCGATCGGTCAAAATCAAAAATGCGGTGCAAGGGACCGCTTTGTCCTTGAAGAACAGAACTTAGGTCTGTTTCATAGGAGCAGAATTCTTTACCACTAGCACAAAAGAACTCTCATACGTTAGGTTTAAGAATGCCGACTCTTTCAAATTTCCGAGCACTGAGTGGCTCTCGAGATTGCTACAGGTTTATTGTCATGTAACAGGTTTTAAATTTAATAAAAAATCGTTCGGCATTTCCGAAATCATTAAAACTATTTAGATATTGAAATATAGGAAAGGGTTTTTAAAAAACATAAGAAATTGTTTGATATATTTGTTGTTTGGCTTATCGCCGAAAATCACCTAAAATGTTAGAAAATATTTCGGAAATTTCCTCTACCATAAAGTGCTTTCCTAGTTTTTAGGAATGCACAGCTCTCTGAACATACGCTTTATATATGAGTTTCCATGATAGCTTGCATTTTAAGACTAAACATATGTTAACAGAATTATATATTTGTCGAAAAATAACTGACATGCCACGCAATTTTTTTAAGAAAAGGCATCTTTATTAATTGCAAGAGCGAAGACCAAATGCTATTTAAAAATGCTGATATAAATGTTATCAAAATCATTTTCAGGTTTAAACCTTTTATGTCGTTTTTCTATAGACAGCGATTTCAAATTTGTAGATCAGGAACTTGCTAAATGAAATAAAGAATAAATAAATAAAGAACAACTGGCAAACATTAAGTGAATAAACGGATTTCGTTTAACACTTCCTCGGAGTCGTGGACCATTTCATTCATCCATTGGGACATTTCCTTAAATTAATTTCAACTTATTCGTAGCAGTTCAAGCAAATGGATAAATTAAAAGCGGTTTCAGTTCATTTTAAGATATTTTATAATAATGTTTCGAAGTGTTTTGTTGAAAATACAGCAAAAAGATTTGAGATGTGTAACACAAAAATGTTCGATAATAAGTTCTGAAATTCACCTGCTTGGAAGCATCCGGGTGTCGAGCACACGTCATTGCACCATGGAACATTTTTGAAGAAAGATGGTACCTGATATATATGCGCTGACTTGCTAACTAATGCTCCTAAATCTAGAAAAGAATATTGTCGTTATTGTTGAGTAAAACGATGACAATCTGTGTACAAATGTTGATAATGAAATGGGTACTATACTGGAGTAATATAGTATAACGTTCTGTGTCATAAATAACGGAGAAAGTTAAGAAAAGTCTCTTATTCTCAAACTATTACCTGAGTGATCATTCGAAAGCAATGAATCCCTGCAAAATAGCGGCTGGTTTGTGTTGCAAGTTTCTGTTATTTCTGTTATTTATCTCGTATAATGCTGTGAATCGTTTGCTAATGAATTTTCCAAACTCTTGAAACTGTTAGAAAAAACTTTTGATACTGTTAGATATAAATACAATGTTCTCCTTGTCATTCCATTTATCCTTCTGTTAGTTACAAAATTGCTGAGTTCCTTCACAAGTTCAATTTCTCTGAAATTAGTAACATTCGATTTTGGATTCTTAAAGATTCCGTCTGTGATTTTATTTCTCCGAGAATTTAAAGCACCTCTTTGTTTCTCGAGGAATTTACAGCATTCAGCTGCGTGTCCCTGTATATTGAGGCTGTTTTTCTTTCCATAAATTTAAATCTTACTTTGACATGTTACTTAAAGTCTGATTAAATAAATCATGAACAAAGTTACCCGCTTTCTAAGTTAAACGAAGATCTCCTAGAATAACCAGCTTAACATGAATGAAATCAGCCAGTCGCTTTCTGAAACAAATCCAAGCAAATCATGTGACAAACTTTTGATGAAGATTATAAGGAATTTGGAAAACTGACTGAATTAAAAAGGCCTTAAACTTTCACATTTAGAGATCGCATATTTCAGATTCTAAAGGGAGGTATAAACAAAGGTTTGGGTGTTAATCATAGATTATTATTCAACTAAATTTTAGGTTCCTTAGATCCAGAGAAATGTTATTTATAATGCTTCTTCAGTTCGTCAATTATATTTCGACGAAAACTTATATAACCGCAGAAATTTACATCTTTAGTTATTAACCCTTCGGCTGTTGCAAAATTAAGAAATTCTCTTTCCCCAAATATGAGTGATATCTGTCAGCAGTAAATTTGTATTGCAAGCTTTGTTCGTTTGCGCCCTCTGCGTTGCGTAACTGAAATGCGAACTGAGCTCGTTGATGATCATCGAAAGGTTAACAATAATTCGCTACCAACGCTGTTTAAAATTCTAGCACCTTAGGATATCATGTTTCATTTGTTCTCAT